CGGCCGCAAAACTGATCACTCTAGTCACTACACAAGTCACTTAAGTATCGGATCGTCCGTGTGGGGAGACTTGTGTGACTTACTCCCTATCCACGCAGCACGAGCCGGTCCCACGAAAATTTTTCTGTGACTAAAGTGACTAGATCCTTCGCCTCGGGAGCAGCAGCAGCTTCCCTCTACGCTCGGCTGCACAAGCCCAGCCGGGCCCGCCCCGCCTCACAATGGATTGGAAATAGCCAAGTTGGTGCCACCACGATTTCCCAGACTCAATTATTGAAATCGCATCGGCCAAAGCGGCGGCGGCGGCAACAGCAGCAGCAGCAGCACACCAGCAGCGCGTTTGTTCGTGCGACGACGGCCTTAATTGGGATTCTCTCGACCCAACCGACGACACCGGCGAAGATATCGATATAGAGGATCACCATCGGCCCCCACCCCATTCCTAGGCCACGGCCACACTGCCCCTTGTAGGGCCGCGCGGGGGTCGGCGTTTTGCAGCAGGAGGCGCCACGGCCGACGCACCACGATAGATAGGGTGGTGTTGTGTGTTTGAGGCGCAAATTCGCTTCCTTCCTGCCCCCCCCCCCCCTCGCGGCTGCACGTCGACTTGGTTATTAGGAACAATACCCGCCTTGTGCCATCCATATACCGAATGCCAACTTGGCCAGCCTTGGCCATGCTGTGCGCGATTCTACCGCTGTGTGTGTGAGAGAGAGAGAGAGAGAGAGAGAGAGAGAGAGAGAGAGAGAGAGAGAGCGTGTGGACGAGGAGAGGTCAGAACAGAAACGCCACACATATCCATGTGGGTCAAGCATCTGGCGGCAGAGGGCCGTAGGAAAGTCAGTACGAAATGAAATGAAAATAAAACTAATCGGAAAGTATACTTTTGATTCCCCAAATAGGACGTGGAAAATCACCGACAATCACGATGAAATCACGTCGTTGAAATAGAAGTTGAAAAGGGTCAAAATAGGTAAGAAAACTCAGCGTAATATAATATCTGAGGCAAGAGGTCGATTACCCATACAACCACACTGCTGCTCGAAGGCGGCACAACAAAAAGGGCTTCCCAGGACGTCGTCACGCATTCGGTAGGACACCGACGGAGCGTGCAGGTGCATAAGGTAAGGACCTTCCAGGACCTCTCTAAGGGCCTCGCGTCCCGCCCCGCCCCTCCACCATGACTCGGCTCGCCAGGGCTCGGTTCCGCACGGCTCAGTACGGGGGCAGTGAACGAGGACAGTGACCTCTTTCTCCAGCGCGGGTACTCTCTTCGGCACGACTCGGGAGGTACCCGGCCGCCGCCGCCGCCGCGCCGGCAGAGGTACGCGAGCAGCCACAGGAAGGAGCGAGCGAAAGAGAGAGAGGGCGCGGAAAGAGGGGAAGAGCGAGAGAGAAGTGCATCTCGAAATTGCCTCGCAAATCCCGCGCCATCGCATCGCGCACTGCTGAGCAACGGAAGTCATCTAGGACGCGACGTCCGGAACAACATCGAGAGGAAGACGACGCGGCCAACGTACATTCGTGAAAGCAAACTCATATTAAAACGAAAAACAATAATTTTGGTTTGAAAATATTGTCTGTAATGGTACATCAAGTTGCGCGCGGTTGCATCATGTCAATAACAATTTTTTCAAAAGCAGAAACTAAAAAAATAAATAATAAATAACTTGAGCAGCTCCAACTTGGTAGCAACAAGAAAAGCTGCAAGTAAGCAACCCAGCAGCAGCGGCGTCCCAAAGCTATTCCAATGCCTTTAACAGGTTGGAAGAGACGACTGGCAGAGCGCTCTCCGCCCCTCACGACGGCGATGTCAAAACCGTGACTTGGCAAACCCCCGACGACGCGCCGCACCACACCACGTAGCAGCACACCAACCAACGCCACATCCGGGCGCACGACCGAGTCCCCATGCATCCCGACCTGGTACTCGAGCGGGGTACTCCAAAGGGGGTACCGCAGCCTCGCGCAGCACCGTTACACGCCCGCGCGGAGCTGGAGCGAGCGGGCTGGAGATGGCGTCTCGGGGAAATATTCGCGTCCACTCCTAGAGTGAAGTAAGACATACTGAAAACTCTCTGAAACGTTGTGCACGTGATTCAGACCTGTCGAGTTCACTAAAAATCGTATTGCACTTGCGGATACCCTAAGGTAAAACACGGTATAAACGAGCCCTGGGATTCCCAGGAGTTTGCTTCATTTACCAGGGGAGTTGGAAGAGTTCCAGGGGTTGCCCTGGAAATGTGCAATTTTCCCAGGGGATTCCCTGGGTTTTCCAGTAGATCCCCTGGGAGTAATTGCTTGTTTCCAGAGAGCATCCACTGGGGTTCAAACTCTCCTAGGAATCACAGGACTCGTTTTTACCGTGTGAAATGATCAAAACGCGACCCAAAAATAAAATTCTGCGCGGCAATACTCGTGTATTTCCCGGGACAGGCAGTGGGCCCCCGCGCCGCCTCGGCCTGACACACGCCGGCCGGGCACGACGCGCAGATCGAGAGACGCCCTGCAATAGCAATTTATGTCTAGGCGCAGAGCAAGACCGGCGCGCGAGCATTACGGACCAGCCTGTAATTTATAGCCGAGGCGCAGATCCCGCCGCTGCCGCCGACCGAAATTCGCAGCCAAGCAGCGCAGCGGCGCCCTCACCATTATCAATTTGAAGCCGCGCGCTCCGAAATGAGACGATTGTGACACACGGTCGGGGCGGGGCAGGGCGCAAGGCCGAGAGCGAAAATACAGAGCAGGGACGCGCACGTCTAAAATTCACTCTGCGCTCCTCAGGGGAGTCTGCGCTCCGGCAACAACAACAACGCCGAGGGCCACATCGAAGCGCCCCCCCCCC